ACAGACTCAAACTGCTCTTCCAAAGGAAGCTTGGTACTAAACTTTTTCTACTTTCATGAGGTGCATTAGGTTGAACAAGATGGGTTTTTTTCTGATATCTGATTTGGGGTAGCAGTGTATTTGGCATTAGGAAGCAATTTATATTTAAGATTTTTAGCAGCCTATTATACAGTCAAGCAAGACTCAAAGTAAGGATTTCATTTTTTAATTCTATCAGGACATGTTTTTTGTGTGCAACAGCACATAATTTCATTTGCTCTCCCTTGACTGATAAAAGCAGAACTGTAGTGATCCACTCAAGCTGTTGTGAAACATACCTGCTGTTGCATTCACTTTTCCTTTGAAAATAGTTTGTAGCAAATAATGTTGTAGGACTTATTTATATTCAACTATGTAACAACCTTCAGACTTCAACATTTTCAACAGTGCAATTGATTTTTATTTTGTACTAAGCTTACTTTCTGGGCCTGACAGAAGACAAATAGTACTCAGACTCTGAATGTCTAAATGTTAGAGCATTATATAATATATGAATATATATTTTAAAAACAGCTTTTGAAGCTTTCAAAGGGTAGTTTTACAAAAAGCTACTACTTATTTTGCTTCATAAGCAGTGCAATGAAGAAGCAGTAATCACAATGTTACCATTTCTAAGCTGTGGTTATTCTGAAGCTTTGTAAAATTTTTAGAACAAATGATGAATCTATCATCCTTTCACAAATTTTAAGGCCTGCTAATTACCAGAACCCCATACTATCTACATGATATGGATCAGTTTACCTGCTCTTCAGAAGTGGGCAGACAAACAACAGATCATTTCTGTTTGTGAGACAAGAACTACTTTCATGGACACTGTGATTATGAAAATTGAAGGGATCGTTGTGGATTTCCTAGGGGAATATACGCTTGAAAGTTAAACAGATCCAGTTAAATTATAGTTTTTGCGTATGACAAATGACAAGCATACAGGAGGGCTTTAACAGCTAAGCCGTTTAGGCTAAGTGAGGGCAATTCATAACCTGCATATAATCTTATTGGTTATTACACATGATTTTGTGGTTTATTCTACACACCTGCTCCATTCCCAATAGCTGTTTCTTTAGAAGTAAAGAATACCTTATTTTTCATAGGCTGTGCTTAAATGTAATGTTATCTTAGTTGCTTAGATGTTCCAAAAATGCCTTGTATGAAATAGCATAATAATCCACACGTCCACATGATTACAAATGATAATTAATATCTCTCCCCAAATTCCTTACCATCTGTTCACACTTGTCAGAACGTTTAAATCGTTGCAGTTGGGACAACATTATGTACTGGTTAAGTGTAATATTAACGTGATGTTCTAGTGTTTTATGTAGTTTTCATACTGCGTCGAGAAAGCGGACCGGTCTGTTAGGAAAAAGAAACTCCTTGTCCACGTTCATTTCCACAAGAAATTTCCACGGGGAGATCAAATATTAAGCATCAGATTTTGTTGGAAACGTCAATCTTCATGTCTTTTTAATAGTTAAGGCTTAGATTATTTCATATTCATCTACCTAAACTGACCCTACTAGATATGATCTTAACGTGCACACTTAATTGGATTGACTGCAGCTGAAACTTTATAATTCAAAAGTGAAAAGGTCGTCGGGTTTTATGCAAGTGTTTTGCACACGAAAATATTTCTCCGTTTTCTTCTATTAAAAGGGACTATCCAAGGTGCAGGACTCCTTAACGAAGCTTTTGTTGTATGCAATTTCAACAATGAAAGGAGGCATCTTCTACACCCCTTTGGGTATTATTATGGTTATTTTCTGATTTTTTATTTTTCTGCAATATCAGCATGACTTGTCTTGAATCAGTACTTATAGTGTCGTGCGGTTACAAACCAGGTGCGGTGTGAAGAAAGCGTCACGATTTGACTCAGAGGCGGATCTCCAGTGCAGTCCGCTCGGGTTACAACACGACTGAAGGCCGAGGTCTCCAATCCCCCGCCGCAGTGCAGGGAGAGCGGAGCCGGCCTAGTTGCTATAGGCCTGGCGTCGGTCAACTGCCCCCCGCCGGCGACTATACAAGGCCCGGCGGGGCACATGATCTCCAAACTGACAGCCCCTGTGCCCAAGCGGAGAGCCTCCGCCGCCACACTGCGCTTCCTCCGCCAATGGCGGAGAGGCGGGGCGTGGCCACCTGGCTCCCCTTGTTCCGTGTGAAAACTTTGCCGGTTTCGGGTGCAAAGTTTCAAACCGTCTGCAAACCACCAGAGAGCTATCGTCGTGCCGAGCTGTGTTTTGTACTCACCGGGTAATTCTTTTCGCTTTTGTTTGGTTCTTTGTTTGAGCACCAGATCTTTTTAAAGAAGTACTCCGTTAACAACCCTTAAACATAGCTTTCCATTATATATGTTTTTAAAAGGAGGATTTACAAGACGTCTTTGAATGACAAGCCTGTGCTTTTTTCTCTCCTTTGGAGCTTCATTTGCCATCCCTGAATATGTTGAATGCCTTCTGATGTACAGATCTCCAGGAACACGGTAATAACGATATAGACCTGATTTCTGACGGGAGAAATATTTTCTCCTCTTTATAGTCATACTGCCACTCTCCGTGTGTTACCGGTGGCATTTGCGCGAATCCCGTGATTTCAAAATACCAGCCCCTTTTTTCCAGTGATTCGTACAAGTAGCTTTCCGTGAAGATGTTAGCGTGATTTCGGTTTTTGTGAAACAACGAAATAGTATTTTTATAACCACATAGTAATTCATCACTGAAACATTTAGCTGGAGGAGACTTCTCAGAAGGGAAAATGGCTTGTGAACCCAACCGGGCACGGCTGCTCTGCATGCTGTCCCTGACTTTCGGCTTCTTCATCGTGGAGGTGGTGGTCAGCCGGATAACCTCGTCCCTGGCGATGCTCTCGGACTCCTTCCACATGCTGTCGGATGTCATAGCCCTGGTCGTGGCTTTGGTGGCCGTTCGCTTTGCGGAAAAAACGCAGGCGACCAGCAAGAACACCTTCGGGTGGATCCGGGCGGAGGTGATGGGCGCCCTGGTGAACGCCGTGTTTCTGACCGCGCTGTGCTTCACCATCATACTGGAAGCCATCGAGCGGTTCACCGAGCCGCGTGAGATCGAGAGCCCGCTGGTGGTGATCGGGGTCGGGGCAGCGGGGCTCCTGGTGAACCTGCTGGGGCTCTGCATGTTCCACGGACACGCAGGGGGCGGCGGGCACGGCCACTCCCACGGAGGACACTCGCACGGGAGTAAGAAAAACAAAAGGAACAAAATGTGCAAATCCGACAGACCATCCGGGAGCGGATCGTCTGGGGAAGAGACTAATAATCTGGTAGGAAACTGCGGCAGCCCTAACGGAGTCAACACAGACAGGCCAGACAAGCACGGTATGTTTTTAATTTCTTCCAAGCAGTTACGATTTATTCTCCTCTTTCGATTCGCTTCTGCCTTTGTGTTGTCATTGCTCGTAAACTTGGTTGCTGACTTGGTCTACTTTTAATTGAAAGTAAGATTTTTAAAACAATATCTGACAAAATTGAAGACAACTGTCAGACTTTGGCATCGAAGCTGCATACAGTAAGGAAACAAATGTTTAAAATCCCGCTTTCGTCAGGGCTGTTGGTTTAATACACAATGAGTTTGGGCAACGCTTCAGCTTCTACCGTAACCGCAATGTGAACCACAAAATTACCATTGGTATGGGCCTGCAATTAAAATGTATAGTGTCTCAGCACTGGCAGATGTATAGGAGCCATTCTTTTACGAGTTGGTAAATCAGTTTAATACAATACGTTCTGCTGCTGTCTTTTCTCATGTGGAACAGCAAAAAGGGAACACAATGCTATATATGGGCCAGTGCTTGTCCCCAGGTAGCAGGGTGGGTATCTCGTGATTTGTCAACCAGTACGTCCTTAGTGGACTTAGTCAGGTCCTCCTTTGAGTCTCACACATGTGCAGATTCTTCATAAGCTGCCAGCACTCCAATTCACAGCTCACATCAAGACAGGCAGGTCCTGTATGCTTTTTTCTGCCTTTCCCATTAAATGAAAAGTCATGAGCTGGACAGCATCTCATGTTTAAACAGTTTATTTTCAGAGAACGGTGAAAAAACTGGACCCTTCGCCTCTAACTGTGCAGTGTCTGAGAAATATGAAAATGTGGACTATTGAACCTCTGATTGTGTTCCCCAACATGGAATGATGTGGTCACAGCCTTATTGCACAGTGGTAGTGGTGACTGACTGTCACATGGTGTGAGAAGTACATCTGTTACTCCACATCTTATTCTGTAAAAGTGAAACTTTCTTCTTGAGGACAGGATGTTGGCATTTGTGCCTGATTCTCAGGGTTGGTTCCACTGTTCCTTTCAAGCGTATTAGGTGTTCATCAGGTTGTTTTATGGTGTCCTGGACCCCTGTGAATGAGTGTGAGTTGCCTTTTTAGCCTGCTGACTGAAGCTTTTTTTTTCTGACCTGCATCTTTGCCTTATAGCTGGCAATCATGTGCTTATCATGTGACAGGTCAGTTATAGCATGGCTACTGCTTCTATACTTGAAAACCTACCATACAAACATGAGCTTACAAACGGGGATCAGCATAAAGCGAATAAATACAGTTTTAAATAATAATAAAACCATAAACAGTGCAACAACAGGATTAAGTCTACAAAAATGGTTTATTTCCTTTTTAAGGAATACAATGGGTCCTAAAAACAATTATTTTTTTTTAGTTATTGTTTACCCACCCCAGGCCTGAAAGGCAGAGTTGCTAAAGTGACCTTTACCATTACATTTAAACAGGAAATGAGATTTAGCTTCGGAAATAGGCATCATAACTTTTATCCCAAACTTTGAGATTCCCCATTTTTAATTGCTTCAGGGTTGTACATGACAAAGAAACTGTTTACTCCTTTAGAATGGAAAATTCTTAGTTTAGAAATCACTAGCATAAATAAGAAAATATGCCAATACATGAACAAGTACAACAGCTTCCTATGTCAAATATGAAGAACAAATAGAAAAAAAATGAACACATCTACTTGGTTAAAGACACAAGCAAAAGTTAATTCCTCATTGCGAAGTAGAACCAAGAAACGCAATGTTTCTGCTCTTGAGCCTGCTATAGCTATGTTAAGAAAATAAGAGTTGGCTTTTTGAATTAGCCTTATTACCTTTAAATTGCTTTTTATCTTTATACTAGCAAGACAATGTGATTTTGTATAGCTGTCACTGGAAGGCGCTGATTTCAGAAGAACAAAAAAGATAAATTTTTCACTTTCACTCTGGTGCCCTTTGGGAATCACATTCTCCATACTGGACTAATAAGAAATTAATGTATATTTATTCAATGGAAAAGAGTGTCAACAAGGCTATACCCTGCAGGTTTCTAATGCTGTCATAGATGCCTGAAGAGCAGATCACCCATTATAACTATTTTTTAATGGTTCGTCATGTGTCAAAAATAACTTGATGTAACAGGTTAAAGAACAGTTGTTTCCCAAAGTACTGAACTGCTTTCTGCTTTTTATGTTCGGTATTATTCTGGCTTTTTGGTCTTGACCTTCAGATTTTCAGTTTACAGAATGCATGTGACAGAAACGAGCTGTTATCTGTGAGAAATGTCTCAAGAGAGTGCAGCTGGAGCTTGCAGATGATTCTGAAAATTTCTGCTGTCCCTTTTCCTATGACCAGAGATTCAGATTTTTCTTCTTCCTCCTGGCACCAGGCTGAAATGCAGGAAATGGAATGTTTTCACTTTAACCTGTGGTTTAAAACAAGTTTTCAATACCTCAGCCAAATACCGTTCAGTTGCACACTATTGGAGTAACAATACCACCCTGTAGCCTAACTCTGTTAGATTTCGCAAGCTGACCAAGGCTGGACCTGTTCAGTACTGTACTGCAACACAAGTGGTAGTTGTGTTGCTCTTTCCTCTGGGACAGAATTTCCAAGTTTGCGCTGTCCTGCAGATAAGACATTAATGACAATCTAGTCCAGACCTTGCTTTGCTAAAGACCCTGTGATTCTTTTCAAAGAGTTGGTGTCTTCTGTCTACGATCCGCTCTGGGCTTGTACGATCCAGCCCTATAAAGCACTTAGTCAGTTCTGTACCTGAACCACTGTGAAGTGATGTTGCTAGTGTTATAGCAACTGAGGCTGCTGTGTGCTGCACTTTAGTGGCGATCCCACTCCTGTGTGTAGTAAAGTGCTTTGAGATCCTTTTGCAGTGTGAAAAGAGCTACGGTATTTACATGCAAAGGGCTGTGATTGTTATAAGTATGCTGTATTATTTCACAAAGAGGTCTGGATGAGTTCTGGTAAACTTTCCTTCCCGTTTGCTTGTTTGACATTTGTGTGCTGTAGTGTCGATATCAAGGCATCTCGTCCCAGAGATTATGAAATCAGCAGCTCTGTCAATACTTTTTTGTGCTCTAATAGCATTGTTTATTACTGTAAAGGGATTTAATGGGGGGGAGGAAAACTTGCAGTCATTAGGACATAATACGGGTACTTAACAACGTTATCTAAAATCTATTATTCCTCCAGGTTGACATTTTTTAACAAGAATCATAGCTCTGTCTGAAATCATTGTAATGCCAGTAATTTTCAAATTGGTGGGTTGGTTATTGATGCTTGGTCTTGGCCTGGCGATGCTCGCGGAATCGAGTCTAGAGGTGTTGCTGCCTCCTGGCCACAGGGTCTTGTCTGCGGGGAGCTTGCATGTTCTCACCGCCCTCTCTTGGGTTTTCTCCCTTTCCTTCCACCTCTAAGAGACATGCTGGCTAGCTTTGATTGGTTGTTTCAAGTTGCTAATTTCTCGTTGTCCCTGCAGCAAAGACAATGCTGTCGTCCTGCTGTGTGGTCTGTACATGCAGGACAGACTTCAGCTTGCCGTGACTTGCACCAGGAAAAGTAGCTTTTTCACCCCAAATATGAATGTTATGCGTTAGTTTTATGAACAGTTGATATACTGAATATTACAATATCTTAAGGTACTTGTTGCATCAGCTAGGCTGTGGTTTGAGAAGAGAATCTTTTAGTGATAAATTGACTTTTAGCTCTTTTTTAATAACCGTAATTTGCAAATGGAATGATCCATGCTCTACTAACCTAATGAAATTTCAAATAACAATATATACGAGACTAACCAACAAGTATTTTGTTTGAAACTATAACTAATAATAATAATTAATAATTGCTTATAATTATATAGCGCTTTTCTGGACACTCCACTCAAAGCGCTTTACAGGTAATGGGGACTCCCCTCCACCACCACCAATGTGCAGCATCCACCTGGATG